TAATTCGCGGGAGCCGCGGGGAGCCCCTGAAGACGAAGTCTTCCCTTCCCTATAAGCTGTTTCAATATGTTGATTGCTGACGATGTTCCCAACAGCTCAAGCTCGGCGCCGAGATCTTCTACTTCGCTGGCATCACTCTCTTCCGGTCCGCCATCCTCCTGTTCTACAAGCGGGTCTGGGAGGACCGCGAGTTCCGCACCTGGGGCTTCACCATCGCCACCATCTCAGCCGCGTGGACCATCGGTTGCTCTCTCTCCGCCATCTTCCGTAAGTATTGTCGTCCATTCAAATCCCTGATTATCATTCCCCGCTGGATCAAGGACGGCTGACGCTTATCAGTGCCTGAGTGTTACCCGGCCGAGCGACTCTGGATGCCCTCGGTTGAGGGCGACTGCACGAACCTTGTCGCCCGGCAGTTCTACATCCCGATCCCAGATGTCCTGTGCTCGCTGGCCGTCTTCTCCCTGCCGATTCCCCGCCTGCTCAAGCTACACATCGACGGGTACCAGAAGTTTATGCTTCTGGTGGCCCTGCTTGTCGGGCTCTGCTCCGTCGGCTCCGGCTTCTACCACTTTTGGGTGCTGCTCAAGTTCACGCCCACGGACATGTCATACACCCTCGCCGACGTCTACACGTGGCGGGTGATCGAGCTGTTCTGTGGCATCGTGGCCGGCAGTCTTCCCGTTTTGGTAAGTAAAGTCCTATTCTGCCACTTTCTCACACCCCCCACAGCCCCAACCCCTCCCCGTGCTACCGCCATGTTCATGCCCACATCCGACCCAAAGTCCATCTGCTAAGTGCTAACCACATGTCCAAAAACAAAACAGGAGCGGCTAATCAACGAAGTCCGCTTCAACGGCACCTTCTTCTGGCCCGGCGCGCCCCATCCCAGCCCCCCGGCCCTCTTTGCCATGCCCTATCCGGGCAACAACCCCGGCCCAGACTCGGGCATTGAGTTGTCCACGCTGGCGCCTGTGTCGGCCCCTCAGGGCCAGGGCCAGGCTGCTGCCAGCACCGCCATCGCCTAAGCGTGGTGGTCGGTGTCTGGCAGCACCCGAGCCGGGCGAGCCGCGGGGGGCTGGTTGTCGTGGTGATGGTGGTGGCGGTGGTGGTGGCGGTGATAGTGCTGGTGGTGGTGGTCGCGGTGGTGGTGTCGCGCTGGTGGCAGCGGTGGTTGGGGTGGGGTGGGATGGGACGGTGGCTCCGGCTCTCGGCTTCCTTGCGGCCGCCGGCATTGCTGCTGCGCTGCTCTAAACATTTCTCCTTGGTCATTTGCGTTTTTTCGGTGCCTTTTTAGAATTTGGGCGACTACCGGTGAGGAGAGGCGTGGGCGCGGGCGAGGAAGGGGAGCCCTGGAGGGGAAGGGGGGAGGGGGGGTTGACGGCGGGGGAGGAAGTAGGCTTTTCAAGCTGCTCGGGTTCCTTTTTTCAGTCTGCATTTTTCTTCTTTTGTTTCCGTTTTAAGTTATAAACAATGAAGAGACGTGCCCCCCGGAGCGAGAGAGAGCATTGAAGTGAACGTACGTGGCGCTCCCCGTGCAATAATTCAGAACATAACGGGAGCGTCCTACACCACCCGATTCAAAGGGCAAGATAACGCTGTCCGGTATCTTTACGGTCACATTCAGTCAAGGGCGTCAGCACACAAGTCATGAGTCAACAAACAGTAAGGGTCCCATCAACAGTATGCCCCAGAGTCAAAGGTCTTTGCGGTGATACCTGGCGGTTAACTTGGCGGGTGGGAGTACATGGGGACAGCGAGCCCGCTACCTCCACTCAGTCACTCGTCACAGCCAGGGGCACAGTCGAAGCCAACGGCCTTGTTCCGTCTAGCCTGCAATCCTAATCGGCGTTTTCCCCGACCCAATCTCCAAACTCGCCCGCCTCGTGCTTCTTTTGCTTGTTTTCTCCATTCCTCCTGAGCAGGCTGCTCAGGGGTTGTGGTGGTAGTGGAGGCCGAAGAGATGGAAGATCCGTCGTCCGAGTTCGATGGACTTGCAGATGTGACGAGGATGTGAAATCATTTTCTGACGAAGACCCGCTCCCCTGAAGGTGGCGGAGACGGTTCAGAAGTCCATTTTGACTGAGGGTTAGTGGCGTTTCTTCCACAACAATCTTCTGAACTAGTCACCCAAGGCGACTGGAGCTGTCGTCTTCAGCGGTTTCCATCCTGAGAATGGCGCCGACGGGTGGCTTAGGCAGCAGAGCCGAGCGAGACCGATTGAGAAGTGAAATGACATGCCGTAGTGGACATTGCGGTAGGTAAACTTGAGCTTGACGCAGTGCTCTGACAGCGCCTTGCCGTGGACCTCCCGCAGGCGCAGGCTTGTGCAGGGGTAGATGATGAGAAGGGTGATAGTGATGAGCATCCAAAAATTGGGGTTGACTAGCAAGGCCCTGCCAAACGGTGTCTTGCTGCTTTCCGTGGTGTCCGCTGTCAGAAGCATGATCTGAGCCCAAAACAGTAGCACCGCGAAGGTGGTCAGTGAAGAATTACTGTACAAAGACAACACCCTCAAGGCGCCTGTACAGTTTGCTACTGAGGCGCCTTGAGAACCCACAGACAAGGTAGTTCAAGCCAATGGGCCCCCGACCGCCGCCTCGTCTATGTCCTTGCCAAGCATGCCGGGCAGAGGAGGAAACTTCGCGATCTTGAGAAGAGATGGCAGGGCCGACTTGGCCTGCTTGGCTCAGGCTTGCCGGTACATGCATGACCTTCTCTCCCAAGTTCTATTCGGCTATATCGAGGATGCCGTCATCCAAGCCCGAGGTTGATGGACAGTGTGGGAGCGGCGGACTCAGGAGCGTTGGTGGGAGCGTTGGGATTGATCTCAACCAAGGGCTCTGGGCGCTCTGGGCTACACCGGCATTCGCATGTCAAAAGGGGCGTCGACAAGGGTGCAGCCTCGCTATGGAAGTAGCCAGGTCCCTCAGGCGCCCTATCTTGTGTTGTTGGTGGAGCTCTTTGGGTCTTTGAGCTCCTTTGTCCTCTTTGACAGGACAAACACCCTCACCACCACAGCTAGCCAGGCAAGCCTATATAGGCTTGCCTCCCAGAGCCTCTCTGGCCATCTCTCTCTTCCTCAGATCATCAAGAGAGCCTGTTTTCCCATCTGTGTGGGTTTATCCGAGTTGGCGTCGTGCACCAAGTCCCGGCGTTCTGCTCTCCATCACGCCATGGGCCCTCCGCCCCCCGGCCAAATTGTTGAGCTTTCATCAAATGCAGATTCCCGCCACTGGCAGAGTCTCCGGGGCCGCGGGGCCTCCCAAAGCATTTGGCGTTCTTTGGGAAACGAAAGAATACTCGAAGGCACCGCTTCAGCCATTGATCTGGTCCAAGACCGCGTTTCTGAAGCAGTTTTGCGACTTCAAGTTTTCCACGGGTCGGCTGCTCCCACATGCGGTTATCCCCGCTGCTGCGTCTGTCGTGATGCCGTCGGGTGCTGGGAGGTACTGCTTGAGAGGGAACAACACCTTTCTGGTCCATCGACCCATGTCTTCCAGAAACTTGATCGCCTTTTCAACCATTATCTTTGCGGCAGCATTCATTCCCCTAGCGGTCCAGCGCTGCAGCCTGCAGGCCCCGTCGGAGAGGGAGGGGAGATGATAGAATCGCCAGTCTGAGATGGGACGATGGACACCGGGAGATTGATAGATGCCTCAACAGTTTAACTTGGCAAACAACGTCAGTATATAGGTAACTAGCTGAATGGCGAATGCGATTTTCAAAATTGTACGAGCAACTCTAAGACAGGACGAGATTATGTATTGCATCAGGCTGAAGCTCCACTGTGAGGAGGAGCCAATGAGCCTCTTGGGCAGCGTTTCAATCAGCCCGTTGGATGCCTGGACGTTTCAATCAGCCCGTTGGATGCCGGGACGGCAACCTTCTTTTGCCCAAATCAGGCGATGGAGAGCGCAGATTCCCTCCTTATTTTACCCAGCCCATTCCAGTATTCCAAGCCATCAACACACCGCGTTCGTTGAAAAATCCGTTGCTACTTTGACTCGGGGGCTGCCTCGCAACCAGTGGTATCAAGTTGGGAGAGCCGTTCCAGTTGTATCCAGTTATGCTTGGCCGGCTGGAGTCGATGGCTTCGGCATGCCCTTCGCAAACCCAGACTATCCGGAGGTCGACGGATAGCCCAACGACCACGCCGAAGGTCTACCTGGGTTAATGATCTTGAGCTTCCTGCGCCAGAACGAGTTCCACTTCGTTGTGCCTATGACAGTCGAGGACCTCGAGAGGGATCATGACAAGATTGGTCTCCAGGAATGTATTGGTCGGCCGGTAGGGAGGACAAGAATGAAGGGAAGGGCATTTTTGTCCTGCTGTAGCCTGTGTCAACATGGATCAATGCCTGGATTGGGCTCAGGGCGACGAGAAAGGTACCTTACCTTCTCTCCTCCCACATACCGGAGAGGCTGAAGGGCATGGCCCATGAGGTTTCCGGTCTTCTGGTCAACGGTGCGAAGCTGTTCGGACATGCGTCTCTTTCCAGCCTCCCTGTTCGGATTCTCCGTCTTCAGTCGCTCGACCTCTGACCCTTCGTTCCACGCAACTTAGGTAGGCTTGAAGGCTGAAGGTGCAATTCTGCCTAGTAACTTAGATTGCGCTTCTCCAAATGATTTGTGCCCAAGAGCTGGGTACCTTAAGTAAGGCATCTAAGTGGTAGCAGGATGTCAGGTTCCGGTCCCCAGCCGGAGTCGCCTTCCAAACACATAGGACGAGGGGGGTTATTCACCTCCGTAGCTCACTGGAAGTTGGAATATCGAGGGAAATAATCAAAGATTCAAGGAAACTGCAGAATTCAAGTGCCAATCGGAATTGTTGCAGCCGCTGTTTGATTTTATTTCTGGCGGTGCCTTTGTCGGGCAACATTGAAGGAGTCATGGACGGGAAACGGGGTCACACTCCACATCACACCCATATTGGCACTTCCCATTGACAACGCAGGTGCGAGCTGCCAGTGGACCCCTTCCAATTCGGGCACTACCACGCAGAAATCTCTTTGCAGATAAGTACAGCTGAGGTCTTTGGTTGTCGGAGATACCACGTTACTTAGCAGTTAGCACTTGGATTGATGTTTTATTCCGGTGTGAACTTGAAGTTGTTTGCAGCCTTTGCAGGGCATGCGGATGTATATCAGGTGGATGAATTCCAGTGCAAGGTCAAAGTATCGCGTGCACTCCCATCATAGATGGAACATAAAGAAATCTGCCACAGGGAGACTCCAATGAACATGATTTCATCGGGCAGGCAAACAGGGACACAAATCATAGAACCAACCCAGCATAGTAAAACGCTAATAAAGACAGACTTGGTCTTAGAGGCTACATAGGAGAGTGACAAAGTTGTAGTTAGATTGCATGTGAACCACAACCACACAACACAAGGAAGTCAAGGACAGAGTCACAGAAGGGTTACCTACCAGCTCAAGGACATCACATAGAGTACCTCACACACATACACATACACACTTAGCAAGATACCTACTTACACATCACACAGCACATTAATAGGTGAAACAGACATAACAGGGAAACACACACATAGGAGGGAAACACATACATAGGAATGAGGAAACAAACATAAACGCAGACACACAGCAAGGAAAACAAAGAACCAGCAAGGCAGATCACACATAAAAAGAACAGCACACAGACAACAGGCGAATGTTGTTCTACTGGGGTTGACAAGGGACAATGGAAGAATACACAGAAACAATACACAGTAACGCATTGAGGGACATTGGAACCATCAGCACATGCAGATCACAGTCACCAAAGCAAGTTTCACACAAGTCATCATGGCCAAGACAAAGAAAGAAAATCTGAAATGTACCACCCATTAATCACTTGGATCCCATGTCCCAAACCTGGCCGGGCAACAGATCCAAGGTGGTCAAGGTGGCTGGTATTTGATGTTGCGCAGCCTAAAGGGAAAAGAGCCTATAAGCAGGCTACTTTCCACAGAGAACCATGGCTGCACATGAAATGTTAGTTTTGGAAAACACGTCACATGGAGAACAGGAAGAGAAATACTGGTCACTGATCCAAGGGAACAAGCACCTACCTACCTGTGATGCATGGAGGTGGACATGGACAAGGACATTCACATAACAATGTAGGCCCAGTGAGCCTGGTCAGTAATCATGGAGAGGAACAGCAACCTTGATGGTTATCAGGCCATGAGAAGGGAGGGGAACATGAGGTGGACATGCGGGAATGTTTTGAAAAAGATGTGAGCCCAGAGATCATGATCACGTCTCATGGAGAGAAGACGTGACCTGGATCCTGGAACCCCATGGGCCCTTGGTCGGGGGTTTGATTTCCGCTCCCACTTGCAGCAACAAAAAACAGAGATGATTCCTGTGCGTGGTCAAGGGGCGATGGAAGGGAAGGGAGAGTGGTGTCGTCGTGTTGTTGACGTGTCACCGTGTTGTCGTGTCATGATGGAGTCACAGAAAAAAACAAGACAAAAAAAGCAAAGAAAGAAACCTTTCCATGTCCCTCTGACCTCCTCGCCCAGTCATCCATGGGAGGAGGATGACCAGGTGGTCGAGGAGAGGATTTTAATGTCCAGCAGGCAGTGGAGGGCAAGATCCTGGAAGACCAGGCTTGTGGCCATCTCTGCTGTGCCGAGTTGCAGGATTAACCACTTGGCAATCCTGCTCGGATTGAGCTTGAGAAAAGAAGAGAGAAGGGGAGGAAAGGTGGGAGGTGAGAGGTCATTATATACCCATCCAGGGCGGTCTGTGCCCGTCTGCGTTCTCTGGCTGATTTGCAGACGCGGGAAGTGAAGCCTCGAGACTCAGTGGTCGCGTATATGGAGGGGTATGCGGTGCAGCAGTATTGGTATGCGCCGTCGACGACAACATGGAGGAAGAGGGGGACCCACCGGGCACGGCGAGCGAGAATTCTGCAGCCAGTTTCGAACTTTCCTCCTGCAACACCATTCCAAGGCCCAGGAGACATTGGGTATTCACAAATTTCATCAGGCGAAAAGGAAGATAGTGAGACAGTTGGGCTCATGATCAAGGGGTGGGTTCCATGTCATAGGTACTGGTTTGTATCAATGACATCTGGAACTGGACGCTACTGATACTGTCATTTTCTTGCACATGGGTGTGGCAGATCAGCATGGACAGGCATAGAGGGTTCAAGGCAATGGGCTTCACAGGCACAAAATGGTCGAGTTCAAGTTGTGAGGAACACGAGAGCTTATAAGAGAGCTATCAAGTACTAGTAAATTCAAATTGAAGTTGGCTGGTTCATGTCCTCTAGCTACACTATCCTATGTGCTCTCCACCTTTTCAACGGTCTTGTTATTGTCATGGTTGAACCGGCACAAGACTGATGGTGATCTCATCAGGTAAAATTCTGAACTCCAGATGTCTTGTTCTTACGAGAGACAGAGAAAAATGCCAAAAATACACATTGTTCGATCTGCCGGAACATTCCACCACGAGATCACAGTCAATGAGAGAAAAACTTGGAATCACAGAGAAGAGGAGGGCATAAGCGGAGACAATTGGGACATGGTCATGGATTACAAGAGATTGGAATGTTTGGAATTGGCGGGAGAAGAAGGGACCCTAAAGAGGATACAGCAAGCAACTCCATGTGAGGTTTGTGTTTTACTTGAAAGAACTTGGGCGAACGGATGGTAGAAGGCACGTTGTTCTGTTTCTGTGACTCCGTCTATTCCAAGATCCCTCGCAACTAGGTAGGTACCTTAGTCAGGAATAACGATGCTTGCTGCTTTAAGAATCGGGGGTAACTGAGTGCGTTCAATTATCTTGCACTGAGACAACACGCAGAAAGGTGTGATGTGGGCTGCAGACTGGACCCGACATCACTGGATAGTAGTACTTCCCGTCAAGGGAACACATGCAAGCAATGCTTGCAACTACTACCAACAGGCGCGCCCGGACAGTACAGTCACAGCAGACCACAAGCTGAGACAACCAGTTGTGATCTAGAAACAGTTCTCGATGTGCCTTTATTCTTTGTTTTCCTTTCGAATTAGGACCTAGGTAGCGCATCTAAGTAGCTACCTACATGTACCTACTAGTACCTACCTGAACAAAGACAGTTTTCAAAACCTGTTTACCATCTCTCAAAGGCTTCTCCCGCAACCATCTGCTACTTCGCAAAATAGTCAACACCATCCACGGGAGCGCTAGCAGCCAGAGCAACAGCAGCATGTTTCGGCCCGACATATTCCTCAGCTGCAGAACCACGGGCCCCTCAACCTCCCTCTCGCCCGAGCGAGTCGCTAACCATGTCGGGCAGTCGGGACGGACAAAATTCCGCTACCCAAGCGCCCGACTGGCAGCTAGATACGTGTCGAACATAGCCGGCCAAGCGAGCAAGCACGTCAACGACCAAGAGTCCGCCGAACGAGTGTCCGTACAGCGCACCGTTGGGTAGGTATCTGAGCAAGGTCACGCCTGGGAGGGAATACGGTCACTCAAATAAACGGCTGTAGGGCCGAGTCTGTAAAAGGGAGGAATTGGTCGCGGCCTGGCTGGCGAATCTGCTACTACTAGTACGCTAGTCCTACAGGTCGTAAGCGATCTCTCCCTGAAGCAAACTCTCGATATCGTGACTGAGGCAATCTCCCACAGTGGATGGGGACTTGGTCCTCAAGCGCTATGAATTCTAGGGGAAAATACCTTGCCACTGAGCTGGGGTCTACTGGTAGTACTAGTGCGTTGACTGAGAGACAGCTGACCGCTGCCAACGTAAGAGTGGCCTGCTCAACTACACAATTCCAGGCTCTTGCGTCTCAGGGTTGCTTATCTCGCCACTGTCGAGTGGAACGGGTCGAGATGCATGGAGTGGCGTCGCCAGATATGTGTCGTCACAACTTGACAGCCCGAGGTTGGAGAAATGGCCTGTCCTCGTGGCGGCTCTCGAGGTAGGGTAGCGAGCCCCTGTGGTTCTGATGGCTAAGAAACTTGCTGTAGTTGGCTCGAATTGCTAAGGATCACAGCTGGTCTGTTGACACTCCGGCATCGAGAGCCACGGTCTTGTCTGAGGCATGTCCAGGCGTCTCCCGGTCGCTATTATAGGAGGGGACTGATGTCTCCGTCGCGAACCTCGAGCATGCAGGTGCCTTTTTCGAGGCGTCACCAACAAGGTAAGTGTATAAAGGTCGACATCGTTACAATGTGCCAAAACCCCACATGATATTGAACCTATCCTAGGTCCTAGAAAGATTGTTCCCTCGAGTCGCTGTCAACCCGTGTGCTTCTCAGCAGCAGAGCGCCGAAGTTCCCAGTTGAGACTGATCCAATGTGTACTCGCTCCGATCCAAAATGAAACCGTGACTCCTTTCCATCCGTGTATTGGCCCCTGATTGTCGCCCCCTTCCACCCAGAAACTCATCTATTTCGGATTTGTCTTCCACTCGCCGGCATCCTTGACTCCCTGGGCAACCGAGGCGACGCCGCCCTCAACGCCGGTGCCGATGTTTGCAATGCCGTCGCCGAGGGGCTTGCCCATTCCGCCTGTCGCACCGTTGACCGTCTCGCCGATACCGCGCGACGCAGCGCCCAAGACACCGCCCACCGTGTTGGCCAGGCCACCGACGGTGTTGCCGAGGGTCGAGGTGACGACCTTGCCTGCGCCTGTGATGCCGGAGTCGTTCTTGTTGTTCATGATGGAGTAGTAGGCTGATTGTTTGAACAAGGTGAAGAGACGAGGTGGTGGTGGTAGTAGTAGTAGTATGGATCTATCACTTAATGAGGTACCTTAGTATAGAAGACGGATAGAGGTGGCAATTATCACTCCCTCTGGAATCATGGCATCGTCTTATACTGCTTCCAGATCCACCACGGCATTCCGGCACTCTGAAGATCACCTGGCTTGCGTCGGCCTGGTCCCCTACTCAAAAGCTTGTTTGTCAACATTGTGGCGGCCCTTCGACGTCATATCCATGAGCTTCCCCCCTTTTCGCAGTCTAAGGCCAAGCCTCGTTGATGCTTCGGTTGGTCTTGGCAATCGACAATCGCGATGACGTCGGAAGGGAAAAGGACCAGGGCTGAGATTTGTTGCGACAAGTGCGACCTTCAATCGCTCGACGGCCGACGCCAGCTGGCATATCTCTTGGCCCAGCGGTTGAGGCTGCAGCTGAGAGTCCACATTCCACACTTGCACCGACAGTCCGACACCCCTTCAACAAGCAGCAAATGGAACGATCAATGTCTAGTGTCTACTATTCGATAAAACCCGGCCTCATCATACTACTTCGACAGCTTGCGCTTTTAACCTCTGTGCTTCGTTAAACTGAATCATATCAGCACGACTCCTTTCCAGTTGCGCTTCTATGCTTTCCCTTTCGCTCCTATCTCCTTTGAGATAGACGTGTATAACTCCTCCGGCTGCAAGGACAATGAACGCCGAGTGTATGATGCTACGGTGGTTTCAAAGATAAAGAGTCAGTCGTGTTGATCAAGCATGAAGCATCCCGTCGTCAACGGAGGGGTCGATACTGACCAAAAGACAATCATGAAGATCATTGCATTCGTCATATCATGAGCCCAGTACTCTCGCCGGATTCCCGTTCCGCGATCGATCATGCTGAGGACAAGGAAACAAAAGATGCCGACACCGATCAGGGCGACATCGAAACAGACTGTTACGGGGTGTACGGCCCGCTTTCGGTTGAAGAAGAGCAGCGATACCACTTCACCACCGTCCGTCAGGACTCCAACGGTGACCTGTGTAGCCGCAGGCAGTCAGTAAACGCGAGCCAGGTATCGCAAGGACGGTCAACCGCAGCCAAGGTGAGGAGAGAGTGGAGTGAGCCCATACCGGAACAAAAGAGGGCACGAGAATATCGACCCGGGTATGTGGCTGCGGCCTCCAATAGACGTACAACCACGCAACGAAGGACAGCGCGCCGAGTGTGTAGACCATGGACAGTAACCGCAACGAAACCTGCGCCCAAGTGAACCCGACGCTCAGCTCCCCGATTGCCCGGACTCTAGGGACGCATCTCCTCTCCTTGGGAACATCCATCCTCCGCTCACCGTCTCAGGCTGCCCTAGCGTGCCCGCCCGCCTGCTCGCCTGCGCCCTTCGCACAGCGGAGACGCGCGCCAATCAATCCCGCCCGAATAGTGTTACAAACGTCCCTCGATCGCTAACCGTTCAAGAAAAGGAGGCGCAAAACCGGGGACTTTATTGGCGCCGTACGAGTAAACAGCAGTGGTTGCTGGGATTGGGACGATGGCTGTCGGTTCTCATCAACTCATACTTCGTACTTCGGTAGCATGTTTCGATTATCGAAGAACAGAAGAAGGGAAGATACTACAACCTGCTTGCAGACCCGACGGAGAATTCACAAGCCACGGGAGCTAACCGAGGGCGTGCCATCGTGTCGCAGCCTGAAGCACCCCTGCAGAAGGATTTCTGACCCCTCCGCTTAGCAGATCTCGGACTGCCTGAGACTGGTATGTGAACCAACAAACTCCATAAATAAGGTATTTCAGCCCCCAACGGGCGGGGGGCCGGGGGCTACCAACAGTAACAAGTACTCCGTGCATGTACGGAGTACCCAGAGGATGATGAGAGTCCGTAAAGCTCGGAAAACTGTTGATCCTATCTCTAAGAATCAATCAAAGCATCAATTTCAGTTGAATCAACTGAACTCCTGACTGGTAACTTGCCCTAAGTAGAGGCACATGAACACAGAACACGAAGGTACAAATGATAGATCAGTACTTCCCGTATGCACCTTTAACACACATCCGATGATCCGAGGGCTCCATGGGAATGGATGCCTGTCACGGTCTCACGTACATTACGATTCAGGCGGAAATCTCTGCTGCTAACAATGCTAAGTATACCCTGCACGTCGAACAAAATCGGCGAAAGCCTTGGTTGTGCCAGATAAACCCCCGGCAAACGGGAGTCCGAGTCTCTGGGCAACTGCCCATACCCGGCCTCGATCCCAAAGGAAGTCCACGGCTGCTACACCGTCAGTCTCCTAGGAGCTATACCCAACGACCAACGGCTCAACGTGAACGAGGCGTTTACCCAGGTCGAAACGACCCGAAGGGCCGGTTACAGGAGACGACGGCAAAAAGTCCACACTGCACAGTGGTACGAAGTAGTGGAACTACCACAAGTACTACAGAGTCTGAGTCTCCCACCAGCTAGCAACTGTCTTCCCTTGGATCGCTGCCTTCTTGCGTGTCCGTCAAGGTAATTTTCCCTTATGTAAGTCTCCATCGAACTGATCCCATAGACCTAGGAGATAGCAATACGATGTATCGGTGTGTAAGCCTTCCGGATCTCAGACTGCCGGTTAGCGTATTTCAAGAACTGCGTTTCCGCCCGGCTGCTATATTACAGACACCGGTTCAATATGCTGCTTGCTTTGAGTCTTACTATCTGAATATCAGACAGCTGGCTGGAGATGGTAACCCCTGATAGGCAGCGCAAGGTTCTTTACCTTGATCCGGAGTAAGCAGGAATCTTAATTGTAGCAGACAACGTTACATGACTCTTCGTTTGACAGCTAGTCTTCTCTTCACTGCTGCAACAGAACGTCAATGGCTACTTAGGTCTTTGGGCAACTGGATGCAGTAAGAATGCCAGACCTTCTTAGTGGGCCACCAACAAGAATGACCAGGGCACTCTTCTTTCATATGCCCCTGACTCCCTGAGCCCATCGGCCTCTTTGGGAGGCTACATACCTAGGTAGACAAAGGCCTCTACTACCTTGCTTAGTACCTGGTAATACAGTGGGATCATGAGGCTACAATGAGGACAAGGAAGCCCAACTGGCAGCACCTACCTAGGTAAGGATTGTGTGCCATGTTGAATTCGCCATGATATGGTGTACATCGCAGGCCAGTTGCCTCGCCATCATAGTGTGCAGTTGGTAGTCCCGTAGGAGCAATATGAAGCATGTCCTAACGCTTTTGTCCAGACCACCCATCAAGATTGCTTATCCACACCACCTGAGGTCTCCTGCTAGCCATGGTAATTGTGACTCAGGGATTGGGTCTCAGCATCCTTCTCACCCTGTTCAACCACTCACTTTTAGCAGTTCCCATGCCCTCTCCGGTGCCCTCAGCTCTGTCGGCAGTAATGCCGAGTGATGCGGGTCTTACCGGTCGACGGGGCAGGTCTCGGCCCGTCCCGGCCAGGAGCCAGGCAGACTCACTACCCAGACAGCATTCATGAACCTTCCGGTCACGCCGAGGGCTGCTAATATGGGTTACTCACCGTTTTCTACCGGCATTCGAGAATCTCCCTCGATTTCTATTCAAGATTTGGGATCCAGCAGCAAAGAGACTGCCAGTGGGCGAAGATATTCGCATCCTTGAAGCTGGTAAGTGCTGATTGCATTGGAGATACTCGCCTTCCCTTTCTCGAGTTGCTTTAATATCATGCTGCCCTTGGGTTTGGAATCTGAATCGATCAAATCCTCGCAAGAAGCCACATTTTGGCGACTCGCGGCCGGATCGACTCTCCTCTCCTCAGCCACCTCGATACCACTGCAGTAATGAAGTTCTCGGTGCTCCCTAGCAATCAGAACGCAACACTGCCTGCTAGTTCAGTGGCGAGCGAGCGACTGCCTTTGGAGGCTGGATGAAGCGTCAGGAAGGACTACTAGTATGTGCTAACTGGTACTGTTGGCACTAGGTCATTTACTCGAGAACCGAAGGAGAGGAAGTCGCTTTGAAGCCAGGCCTCAAGCTCTGTACTACGCTCGGTATGTATGCAACCGCTCATGGGCATATATGCTCAGCTGCTGACTGACTCTAATCTGACTCCTAAGACACAGAAAACGAAGCCGAAGCCATGCCTCCCGCCCAAGAAGAAGCCACGCATTCCAAGAGACGGATACAAGAGACTCATACAAGGGTGCATACAGGAAGTTGGACAGGCAATGCATGGGAGACGAACAAGAGATGGGATACACATATACACAAGGGCTGGAATGCACATAAGAGCTGGAACATATACAAGAGGCGGGACATATACAAGGGATGGAATATATCCAAGAGACGGAATACACTCAATCGACCCACCGACCGACGAATGCAACAGACACACACAAGTTAAGACACACATACAAGAGAAGGGGCGTACGTACAAGAGTTGAAGAGATGGGACACACATACAGGAGATGGGACACACACGAGGAATGGAACACACAAGAGGAGGACACTCAAGAGGAGGGATATAATATATTCACAGGGCCTGGCATATATGGGACAGGTGGGAATACATCCAAGAGACGGAATATGCACATGGGACGGATCAGATCAGACGGAGTTCACACAAGAGACGAAATTGAGACGAAATCCACCCAAGCGACGAAGTAGAAGATGAGACGACATGAGAAGGGGATACAAACAAGAGAAGGACTATACGCGAAAGACGGGACATACACAAGAGAAGGGATACACACAACAAGAGAAGGAAAAAACACAAGAGAAAGAGGCACAAGGAGGGGAAACACACAAGAGGAGGGAAACATACAAGAGGGGGAAACGCACAAGAGGGGGAACATATACAAGAGACAGACGCATACGGGAGACAAGACGCATACAAGAGATGGGACACAAACACGATAATGGATACAAACACAATAATGGATACACACAAGAGAAGGGATATATAAGAGAAGGACGATACACGAAAATTCACAGAAGAGATGACACACAAGCAAGAGAAGGAATATACACAAGAGTAAAGTATATAGGTGACGGGGATGCACCAGATACAAGACGCATAAAGAGAAGCAATGCGTGTAAGAGAAGGAATACATACAAGAGAAGGAACATACACACATGATCCAAGACTGGACATAAGTACACGATCCAAGAAGCACACGATCAAGGACACGAAGATCCGAGACACATAAGAGCGCGGGCAGCAGAAACGAACGGGCGTTTACAAGAGACGGTGCAAGCACAAGGAGAAGATGACAATACATGCTATCTCTAGGCTGAGACCTTGCCCACCGGGCTATAAGAGAAGGAACGGATATATATAGCGATATCGGTTGGGATACCCCTCTCGCCGGCGTGGCGGTGAGAGGTTAAAGAGGAGGCATATACCCCGGATCATCAAACGCAAGTCTCAAAGAGGTAGACATATACAAGGCAAACGACAAGAGACAGCCACAGGGTAGGAACATTGAAGTCGCCCATCATTCGGGCTATAAGAGAAGGGACATGATGACATACATACTCTGACAGAGGTTTGGGCACCTCTCTCCGCGTGTGGCGGCAAGAGATAAAAGAGGAGGACGAATACAAGAATGAAGCATAAGGGGCAAGCACACTTTCAAGAGCTGGAATAAATCGACAACATATCCGCTAGGGCAAACCAGAGGGAAGACCAAGGATCCGGGCATGGAAGAACCGCTGACCGGAGGCTTGCAGTGGGAAACTACCAGGTAGGGAAGCGCTATTTCAAGGTGAGTTCACCCCTATACTCTTGTCGTCATTGAAGGGAGAGCATGGCAGCTGTATTACACCTGCTCTACGTCTTTTCTTCGTTGCCAGTGTTTACCATCCCAGACGGCAAAGCTCATCACAACGGCCAGTTAGCTGACCGAGGCCGGTTGTGTCTCCTGTCTACCATCGTCAGTCTTGGAAGAGAAGGGATCAGGTTGGCCATGACCCTGATCAGCGAAAACAAACTGTCCTAACATATCCCTATCTTCGCTTGTTCGTCCTTGCATGATTCATTCTTCCTCTTCCTTTTCCAGGATTTTTTTTCCCTGGTAAACATGGATAGACTGCAAGGCTTAGGTTTATCCCGTTGTCCCAGGCTATCTGCTATCTTCAACAAGCTTGTAGCGCTTGTTTGTCTTATACGTACCCTATGTGGAGTTCCAGGGCGACGCCTTATTCTGGTTCATGATGCTGTCTGAGGTGCATTGCTGACCGTTTTTCCAGGGCAGGGCCTCGGTATCTACAATACAGAGACCGAAGGGCATACAGACACCGAGTCTTTGAACCAAGAGGTGGCCTGGGAGAAACCAGAGACTTGCGGTTTCCGTAGGGAGCCCAGCCTACATTGTCTTTGGCCCGTAGCGTCTTCCGTGAAGAACCCACGCCAGGAACTCGACGGCCCGCAGCAAATTGGGAGAATCGGTTCAACAAACCCACCGTGCACAAGGTCTTTCAAGCAAGGAGGAGCGCTACCGAAATGCTGCCCAAGGCACACATAACAACCATAACAAAAGGAGGCACCAAGCCAACAACCGGACTCACCTATTCACTTATCACAACTACAGTAGCTCCAACAACCTTGTTAAGGCATGGGGGTCTCTGTCATCCACTGGCAACAATACACTTCCCCTTGACTTGTAAGTGGGGTACGAACGAAAGCACCAGTATGACCGACATCATGTCCTGTTCAACATTATGACCTATAGGGGCGCCTAGGCACTCATTACATCAGGTACGTTCCACACGGTTGTCATTATTGTTCGTCTTGCCTTCACCAGACTCAAATGTCAAGGTGAAGTGTCCCATGGATGGAGCGGCTTTGAAACTATTCGTCCTGGTTGATGGAAAGGGCTGGACTTCTGCCCTTCCGCAAGCCCCAAGCAAACAGCGACAGTGGGTACAACACCTGTGTCCCTGTGCAGACCCCTGAGCCTACGGTGCAGTTTGCCCTGTTTTATTGCAGAACTGCTACGATCTCTCCCCGGCAAGACATACTGAATCGATAAGCCCATTACCAGAGTCCAGCGCTAGTCTCGAGGGCCACCGAGAGCTTCAAACCAAGGAGAACCCAAAATATCACCCGCGAGGAGTGTTCGTGCTGAAAGACACGGTTAAGGGGTACGAAGATGATTGTATTCAGCCTTGACTTAGTTACGTCAAGACCTCGTGAGCAGCTTGAATAAGTAGATTAGTACAAGTAAGATAAACTCTGCTCCCAGATGTACTGTACTTCGCCTTGTGACAAGATAACTTGTGGTTTCTGCGCGCGAATCTAACATTTAGCAAATGTTGGTCTATACAACGCGGTCAGGATTCTACCAAAGTATGTTCTACTTTCTAGTAACTTGGTACAAGCTGACAGTCGTCACCGTTCTGTTGCGGAGTGATCCAAACCGGCACAAAACCGCTCTCTCAAGGCCAGTCTGAAGAGCTATGAATGGAGCTCCCTATGCAACGATTTAAGGCATACTGAGTTTCCTTCCTCATGAATACCTATACAATAACCCCATCCAGACTTCAGACGAACTACCCCCAACTTGATTATGCCAACACCCAAGAATGCTGCTAATACGATGCAAGCCTCATTTCCAGATCAGAAAATGAGCCCTAGATGATAGGGCCACCCGGCTACAACCTAGATTCTTCGATCCTCCAGCCTTCAAGTTTTCGACGAACGCAGCTCCATGCAGTACCTGGAAACTGTCCAGTCCACAGTGCTGGTTCTTGATCCAAATATCCTGGACACTATCTCAAATCTCAGTCTGTAGAACCGCTACAGAGTCCACCGTCATGTCCGCAACGCAGACAATCTCCTGGTGACACTTCTTGCCCACGCCCTGAGCTCGCGTGTCGAATTCCCCCAGCCCTGTGTGTCAAGATTGCATTCGTGACCGGTCCATACCAGACCAGACACATTCTGAGCAGTCTACGCCACTTCCGGAAGGCCGTACTAATACCATTGTCTAAGTCCCCTTCAGTACCCCGAGAAGTACATTCCAGTCCCAACCAAGAGATCAACCGCGGCTGTCCATTCCCATCGGAAATAGGTACCGTACCGAATGCCACACTCTCCTTTTGGAGCACCAGGAGCGCCATACAACTACTAAAGCTCAGCAGATTCCGAGCCAGCACCTTGCCGCGTCGATCCGCGCAGGCCAAGCAGCATCCTCCACCCTTTCCCGTCCTCATCCCAAACCCGCCGCCTACCATTTCTCGGCAACACTACTGAGCGGAAGCCAGTCCGCTCGTACTTTCATCAAGATATCTTTCCTTGCACCCATGCGCCACCCGTGATCTCTCTCCCGCAAGTTCGCAACGCACAGGCCGACCCACGGACAAACCGACTTGACAGACACGCCAGGCTCCAGCAAATCTCCGAGCACACCTCAACACCGCTTACCCGATCGCCGCCTGACCCCAGGCTCCTTACCATGGCGAAGAACCGAACGCGGACTGGAGGCACACATACAGTAAGAGGAGGAAGCAGGCACATACAGTCAGGGAGAATGGCACACCGGGGAAAGAGGAGTAAAGGCGGATCACCGCGCTTCCACCCAACCCCAAACGACGCAAAGGGGCAGAAAGCCAGCAACAACCTCTGCAGAGAAGATATTCCAACGCAAATTAAGCAGCCAAACAGGATAGATACAATATAACATTGCTATTTGGGAACCACAAGTCTCGGCCGCCGTTGAATGCTTTCATGCTACAGTACCTAAGTTGTCAATGTCTGTTTCTACTCCGAGTGCCCACCAGTACCTAAGTACTCAACAAACCTCCAAAACCACTGCATTATTCACGAGAGACACAGACAACAATACCATTCACAGGCTCGTGGTTCTTCAGTTTCCAAGGAACCATTCAAACAGCCCTTGTTCCAGTCCACGAATCTTGCCCGTCGAGTCCAAGACAAGGCCCTTACCGCATGCTCCCCGAAGATTTCAACCGAATCCTGTGAGTTGTTACGCAGCGCCACGCTTGCTCAACTGGGCAGGATCACAAGAGTGTCCCCGTGTCCCGTGCTCGAGCTTCAAGGCAGGTTTGAACGTGAGTTAGTTGAAGCCCTTCCCGGGTTCAGGCGAGCAATATCACGGATCAGGGCATAATCGAGACACGTCTACCACTGCAGGACCGCCTCAGGCAGCTGAAGCCAGGGACGGCATCCACGAACCGAATCCGATGAGCTCCAGCATCGGCGTCGGGATCTTCGCAAACATCGCTCGCAGCAACTCCTGGTTAGCAAGTCCAAGTTAGCCGTACGTGAGCCTGTTCAATGGTCACTTAAAAGTCCGTTAGTAAGACCACCGACGCCACATCACTACCCATCGCTTGGCTCGTCTAATCGCTTTCCTACTGCCCCCAGCTTTCCCACGTAGTCGTAGTAACTCATGGGCCAAGTAGAGCAAGCCAGAAGCGCAAGGCACCGCGAAGCAAAGGGACAAGGAGCAAGCAAGGCAGAGAGATCACGGTAAGTCCCAATCGCTCCTCAACCACCCAAACCAGCACGCCAGACGTTGCAAAGCACAATCAAGGAGAGGCACATAAGTGACGAGAAGAAGTCATTGCAGAGTAGTAGTAGGAAAAAAACCGTCCTTGGCCTGGCAGGACACCAGCCCATAATGAGTGGTCCGCCCCGAGTGGCCGAATGATCAAAAACCGTCTGAAGCCCAGGTTTGCTCTTCAAAGAATCTATCAAGATATCTCTGAAGAGTTGCCAAGTTCCTTCGCCAAATGGGCCAAGGGAAAGATCACGACGAACGCAGTTCCTCCCAATCAACCAAATGACCAGTCCCTAGCTCCTGGGGCAGACGGCATAAAGTAAGCTGTGCGCAAGATCGCGCATCCGAAACGAAAGTAAATCTTCCGAGAGAAGTGTAGACAACCGACTGGAAAAACTAAGAAAACGAAATAACGAGTTTCCTCGAGCCGTCCCATTCATTCCTTTCCGTTCTCGTTCGTCTCTTTGTCATGAGCATGCAGCCAGAAACGCTACCGAAGCAAGCAGACGACAACGAGACCAGAACGCCGAGCAATGCCAAGGACAGAGCGAGCTGCTTGATCGCAAAGAGGAGCTTGAGAAAATCGCCCCCTTCATGCTTTTCGTACCCCGGTGCGCCACCCCGAACGCCGTGCGATGAAGCCCAGAATGTAATGAGCGGAGGCAGAGCGGCATTTACTGTTTGGTCAACCTGGTTAGCACCACGTGAAGGAAGAGCCAAAGCAAAAGCAAAGCCAAAAGTAAAAGGCAAAACAATCCCGCATCAGACAAGCTTGTAAGAATTCGAAATGAACTCACAGCCATCGGACCCGGCGGCGGGGGAGGGTTGCCACCGAAGTGGCCGGGGCCTCCAAAGGGACCACCCGGACCAGGAGGAGGTCCACCAGGGCCGCCATGCGGAGGCATGCCGCCGATGTAGTGAGGCGGAGGAGGCGCAGGACGATAGGGCGTGCCCACACCAGAGTTGTTCTGAGATCGGCCCCAGGAGAGGCGGACGCGGGAGTTACCAATGGGGTAACCCTGCATTTGATTGATCGCCATTTCCGCAGCATGACGATGCACGAACTGAACGAAGCCGCAACCCTTTCCAGGAGGGATCTTGACGTAAGTAATTTCGCCGAATCCCTGGAAAAACGAGCGAAGCTCGTCCTCAGTAACGTAGCCCGAGAGACCACCAACGAAGACGGTGGTGTTGTTAGGGTCGGTGAATTGATTCATGGGTTGCATGGGGTTGAATGGACCCTGATTGAAATACGGAGGGACACCCCACATGGGAGCGCCAGCATGAGCGGGAACGGGACCCATCATGGGATTGCCACCATGGCCCTGTCCATACTGATGTGAACTATTGCGTGTTAGAAGCCGTAGTATACCACTGGGTGAGAGATGATGTCGAATTGACGTACCGAGTCTTCGGGGTAGCGGTGGAGATCCGCATGGGACGGTTTCCGCAATAGACACCCTGCATCTCAACTAGGGCGCGCTGCTGGTCCGATTCATCGCTGAAGCGCACAAAGCCATAGCCACGAGACTGGCCGGTGACCGCATCCGTCATGATTTTGGCTGACTTGCAGCTTGGGAAGCGTGATTGGAACAGAGAGACGAGCACAAACTCGTTGACCTCAGGGCCAAGGTCGCCAACGAAGATGCTATACTCCGGTCCACGATCATCGCTGGTAGGTTGACAGTTAGCAACGAATTAGCAGGCAATGTTCCAATGTTGCATAACCCTTACCGGCGATCGACTAGGCCTCCACCGGAAGCCCAGTTTAGTTTGAAGACCCGGGTAGAGCCGGGCACCGGAGTTCCATTCAGAGTTAGGGCCTTTTGGGCAGCCTCTGGAGTCGGGAACTCGATGAAACAATAGCCTGCGTTGCTATACTAGAGTCAGTAACGAAACTCCCGCGTTGGACTGTCGGAAAATCTCGATGGAGCGCCGAGAGCACACCGAGAGAACGCCGAGACAAGGCTCGGCGAATCTGTTCAATCGTGAATGGACGCGATCTAATAGAAAAAGGATAAAAATAGAGGCTCGGCAACGCGATCTGATATGAAAAGGACAAAGTGGAGCTTCGAATCGATGTCGAGACAGTGAAGTGAAGTGTATAAGGAACAAGGGGTAAGGTCTAGGAACTATATTGCTCCTTGACCAAACAACCGTAAGGAAAAGTGTATATGTCCAAGAAGAGACATACCCGGAGTTACGGTCGCGAATGACCTTGACTTGGACGTCGTTGCTCGTCAACGTCATCATGATGCCTTTCACAAAGCTCTCGTCCATCCAGTGCTCCATCTCTCCCATCCTACCCATCCTATTAGCAAGCGTCTCTGCAGACAATTGTAAGCAGTCTTACCAGAGGGTCTTGGCTCCCTCATTCTGAGCCGCAACCGGAGCGCTCACGAAGTTGGGATCACCAGATCCGTTGAGGTTGGGACCGTTGATGGGGGCGCCCGGAGGACCAGAAGGCGGGTACTCAGCCATGGTTTCTATTGACTTGAAAGTAAGTATCAGCACCACAAGGAAGGGCTTTGATGTAAGAGAAAATAAAGTAGCAACGTGAGATCATGTTTGGTGGAAGTGGTTGAGGGAATCGAGGGAGGGAATTGGTGGAGGGAATCGGTTGAGGGAATCGCGTGATGGAATCAAAACATTGCCCGATATCGGGCAATGGAATGGGCCAAAGGATGAATCAAGGCGACCAGGCAAATGACGCTGGAAACCTCACCTGATCGGTCGCTCGCCTGAAACCAAGCTGAGAAAGCTAGCAGAATGGGTAGGTAAGGAAGAAGAGAAACAGATTGCTGAGTGAAGACCACAGTTGATGGGAGAGGTTGATGGAAGAAAGTTGATGGGAGAAGTGGATGGGAGAGGTCAGTGGATTCAGGTTGTTGGAATTAGGCAAGAAATTAATCAAGACCGACCAGCTTATGATTTTTGGGAACCAACTTGGTCGGTCGCGGTGCTGAAAAAGAAGCTTGAGATGATCGCCGATATTGACAGACAAGGAGAGAAGGAAATCGATGTCAAGACCATGAGAGAACTTACCTCAAGTCGATGGATATCCTCTTGTGGCGACAGAGTGCGCGATGGGTTCGTGATGGAATTGGGAATGGAGTTGTGCTGGAAAATCTAAGACGGAGAAGTGTGGTTAGCAAAGTGGGAGGAGGAAGAGGGAGGAGTGTAGGGCTTGATATGGAGGGCAAGAACGGGGTCTGGGTATAGCCACGTGCCCTAGCGCGTGACTGTTCGTCCAAACACAATGCTAAAGCTAGAGGGAGGAGCGATAACGATAAGGGGGAGAACAGCATAGCTCAAAGGGATAGAGGTAGGAACGAGTCCGGGCCATAGTCACGAGTACTAGCTCATGACAGTTCGTCCGAATACAATCCTAAAGCCAGAGGGGACAGCAATAACGATAAGGGGGAGAACAGCATGGCTCAGAAAGATAGGGGCAGGAACGAGTCCGGCCTATAGTCATGAGCACTAAGCGCATGACAGCTCGTCTGAATACAATACTAAAGCCAGAGACCGTCCTATAGGGGAGTGATAACGATAAGGGGGAGAGAGCATAGCTCAGGGGGATAGAGGCAGGAACCAGTCCGGGCTATAGTCACGAGCACTAGCGTGTGACTCTTCATCTGAACATAGTACTGAACCGCGGATTGTCACATGGTAGAGCGATAACGATAACGGGAACAAGTATGGCTCAGGAAAGAGAGGCAAGAGCGAGGTTGGGTTATAGTCGCGTGGATTGACACCGAACATTCGTCTGAACCTAGGGCTTGATCGTGGAACAACAAAAATAGGGGGAGCGATAACGTCAACGATGGGAACTGTGGGGCTCAGGAAAGAGAGGCAAGAACGAAGTTGGGGCATAGCCACGTGGACTGACACCAAGTATTCGTCCGAAGCTAGTGCTAGATCAGGAGACAGGAAAATCAAGGGGAGAGATAACGTCACGAATGGGAACTGTAAGGCTTCAAGGAGAGGGAGACAAGGACGAGGTCAGACGATAGAAATATAGACCATCAAGTGGACGACAACATAACGTTCGCCTGAGCCTAATGCAGCACGTGGACTACATGCACTATCCGTCCCAATATAGCGCCAGAGGTGAGGGTACGATAGGGGAAGCAATGGCAATAAGGGCAATAACGGAGGGGTTAAGGAAAGGGAGGAAAGGACGAAGTCAGGGGCCAAGATCACGTAGACCAGCACATGGACTGCCACATCATACTCGTCCAAACTTGAGAATATAGGAGATAGGTGAGTGACAATTAATAAGGGCAGAACTGAAGGGCAGAGAAATGTAGCAGAAACGAATTTGAGCTTTCATCACTGAGACCATCCTGTGGACTACCAGCATCATTCGCCCAAGCTTAGTCCTAGACCAAGAGCAAGAGCAGTCAGGCTATAGCGGGTAGACTACACTTAAAGGCCATCTGAATCTAAGCTGTCACTGGACATTAAGCCAATAGACGTAGTTTTCTGGACTCGTCCTGTCACTGACAGGAAGCCACGTCTAACCGCGACGGGAGAGCTGTAGATTACAAGAGCCAGGTGGTAGTGTCAACGTTGAAGCTCCCAGACAATTGCCGTCACTTGTCCGAACATAATGCCAGATAAAGGGAGCAACAACAGGATGTATATCATATTCGAAGATCAGAAGCAGGAAAGGATGAGAGCTAATGTACGGCAGGTGGCCGTCGACTGATTGTAGTGCCTAATCATGGAAGTAGTGCTTTGTCTTGACACGTTAAAGGCAGGCAATGGAGCGAGACAGACGAAGAAATCCAGTGTACTACACATAGCCTTCGTCTGATTATAAGAGAATACCAATGCCCCAGCCCTGACTTTTTAAGATAAGAATTTCGATTGGGGAAGAAGAAGTGGAAATGCTTCATGTGAAAATCTCCTGATCATGGTAACTAGAGAAGAAGCTGGTGCCCTACCCGGGGCACATCGAGAATAAGGTTGAGACGGGTGGTGATGCACTAACGTGAAATCTTTGGCTGGTCTGGGCTCTGGAGAAGGGTGTATATGATAGGAGATATGGAAGAGGAGGTGTGAAAGAGGATAGGAAGGCAGGAGAGATGAACAACAAGGAAAACTAAAGTAAGACTCACCAGGAAGGTATCGAAAGAGGCAGCGACAGCTCACAATGAAACGCTGTCGAACAGAGTCAGCGTCCGTGGTGTTGCTAATGATGATGGAGGACCAGAGGAGAGGTCAAGCATTGGAATGAGGACGCAGGGGTCTGGAATGCTGATGAGAGCACCTGGAATGTGGGGTCGGACTCGTTTGCTGATGCGGCTCAACAGAGCTTCACGCGCCAGAGCCACAAGTGGGAGGGATAGATATGAGAATCCATGTCCACAGCCGCTGCGTGGATCGACGACAGGAAGAGATTTGAAGAGGGTAATGGACGGGGTTACATACCGCAATACCCCAAGAAGCTGCGGGATAGAGAGGAAGGAGACAGGAAATAACGGCTAGAGCAGCTCCTCAACCTATGATGCAAGGACCCAGGTCAGTCATGCGATGGGAGAGTGCTAGAGCACATCTAAGAGAGAACAGGACGGTCTTGATCAAGGGAGTGTGCCGTCTGCTTGACTTGACAGTAGCCTTGTCCATGCCCAAATGAGATCCGATCAGGATATGCCATTTCACAGGTGCGGGTCGTCGGGATACTACAGAGAGAGACGCCACGGGAATATAGCAACATGCCGCGCTGTGCTCCTGCATCGCTCTTGGGTAATAGATGGTGGAAGATATCGACAGCTCCTTATCGTCTCAAGTTGGTGTCCTGATGTTGCCCAAGTAGCCTGACTTGGTGGAAGTCGTCCAGAACGCCCTCAGTCCGGTTCAAGACGGCTCACAGACCGTTGACTTGTTGCCCCGGCCGACACAAACGAAGAGCCGAAGCGCTCCGCCTTGTCGGTTCATTCACGGGAGCCGAGCGGTGCTGTCTGGCACAACACAGGGGGTCATGGAGAAATCATGCTGGCGCAAGCACGTGCTAACCGACCCCTTGAGTCTGGCAACACTGGCACTAGATTGACGGGAAAGCCCACTTGGGATCGAACAGACTGGCCTTGCAGTAGTGTCCCCATTGTGTTGAGTTGTGCTGATGGATGAGATCTTGAGCCTCTGGCCAAAGGTAATCCCTCACCAGCCCATGAGGAAGGAAATGCACAAGATCAGAACGAGTCGCCCGTCCATGAAACGGGTCAAAATGACGCTGAGGACTTACCAAGAACGACCTTTTGTGACAGACGCCTTCACGCCGCGAAACTCAAGAGACCCCCGAATAGAAGTTATCGAAGATGCCAAGAGATACTCGAGCGCCGACGAGGTTCGCAGGGCTGGAGACCAGAATAAGGCAAGGCTGAACTAATACCGAAGAACTCCAATAAATGGCAACCTATTTGAAGAAGTCAGCACTTAAGGCTCTAAGTAACAACAGCGCTCTAGCGACGTCGATAACAAGAACGTGACCGATTGTCCGACCGAGCCGGGACCATGGACGGCAGATTCAATGAGGCGACACCCAAAGCGTCGTCAGGGCAATCAGTGGGGTCCAGGAAGGCTCGCACACGGGAACCGGGCAGCAAATCTCCAGACCTCCAGCACCCGCGGCAACACTAGACGCCACCGTTGAACTGGCGTGAACTCTTTGGTGTCGCAGCAATTCCCTAGGTCTAATCCAGATCCTCCAAGTCGTTCGAATGCAACCGATCGCAATAACCAGCCCAGGCGCGGATGCAGAGCTCGGCCGTAGCTGGGGAGCGGAGAATCGATCAAGTCGGCATGACAAGGCACGTAAACAAGCCGATGGCCCGGACACATAACGCGCTGCGTTTGATAGAGCTGAGCAAATCCAGGAGGGTGCAAAACAGCACTTAGACCCGGCTTCTCGACCATACTGGTTTTCCAACAAGCCAAAAAGCGTTCAGGAAGACGGGGCGTCATTCGAATAGCCAGGAGCACCCAAGAAAGAGCAAGAGTCTCAGCAACCGTCGATTAAGCCTGGCGAGAGCGTCGAGCCAGGTCGACCCAGATTTGCAGATCCATCATCTCCGTCCAACCCGTCCAAAACAGCATTACGCGCTCGACGAATCCGAAGGAGACCTCACGGGTAGACGAAAGAGCACCGGGGTCGGTAGATGGCGAGATGGGATGTAAATTTCGGCCGGGTCATATGAACCAGTCGTGGACGGAAGACGAACACATCTCGGAGCAGACCGCAGCCGACTGGCGAATCCAAATGGCCCCTTCTTTACAGCCCACCCGAATGAAGCAAAGTCGAATCAGGCGAGTCCGGAGGAGCGCAGAAACCTGCTAGCTAGGAAAATCCGGGTCGGTTGGACTCAAGGGCTCGATCACCTGCCGTCTCTAGCGATTCCCTCTCATTAGAGGCTTGGTTGACACCCCCTGAGCCTGTCGAATATATCCCAGCCCACCACTTCACACTCTTGAAA